TTTCACAGATAATGATACGTATCAGATAGTAGTACAATTATGTATCATTTATATACTATTTTAATAATATATGATATGTATTAGACAGAAGCGCTTTTACGTATCATATACATAAATAAGTTACAATGATATATAAGTTACAATAAGTTACAATAAGTTACAATAAGTATCAATGATACTTTATTGATACTTTCTGGTTATATAACAGGAAATATCAGTTACATGTGCGTTTGCTGGGTATCCGACAAAAATGTAAAATAAAATTTTATAAATTGTATACGTATTATATATTGTTTATATAGATAACACATTTCACGCAGTTTGCATTGTTTACGCATAGATGTAAATCGTTATAACTTATGCATAAATGAAGAACCCTAGTTCGCACTTAAGTGCAAAGTTATTACTTACCGATCGCTCCAAGGACCGTTCCACTCTGCCTCGTTACCCCAAGGATTGCGAAGTCTCAAGAGAGGTATGATGCCATGCTGATTCGGTGTCTGAATTTCTACATGTTTTACACGGGTTATGCTGTAGGCGTGACCACGTATCAATCCCTGAGGTGTTTCAGCTTCTACTATGTTCGGATCGGGCTAAAAGTGTAGTATACATATGTGTTAATCACAAAACTCTCATGTGATTTATAAAAAATGATATGTGAATTATAAAAAAAAATTACTACTTATTTATTTATTATAGATTATATTATGCAATAATATCCACGCACGCATGAACAATAAATAATAAATAATTATAAAATATAATTTTTCTCTTTCTATTTTTAGTGGGTATAAAGAACAAAAAAGAAATATACAAATTTTAAATAAAATATATTTCCTATCTCTTAATATTATTTTAGACTCTCAATATTAGTTTAAGCAATTATACTTTAAAACTTCTTAGATGATCTATATACAGGGTGTCAATTAAGTCCCGGGACGGCTGAATATTTTCTCATGTAAGGTATTTTTGAAAAAGGTCAAGGTCATTTCTGAAGTAATTTTCAACGAGGAATTCAACGGTGACCTTCAATTTGACCTTGAGCTTGACCTTCAAGGTCATTTCAAGGTTAGGTTAGGTTAGGTTTTTTAAATAGAAACCCCTATTTTTGATTCCAAAATCTAATAGCTGGTGTCAAGAGCTTTTCAAAACACTATAATGAAGTTATTTTTCATTAAGTACTTTTCGAGTTATGAGGCTTGTAAATTACAGTATTTTGACATAAACTGAGTCGGAGA